TTTCTTCTCCTTCCTCTCTTGCTATCAATATCCTCTCCATCCTCTCTATCTTGCATTCAACCTCCTCTCACTTGCAGGTTATGGTAGTGGTAAGCAAATCTGAGATTTTGTGTTCCTCCTTTTGTTTGCTTTGTGTTCATATTGCAAATCTAAGCTTATTATTATAGATTTGAGCTTATTGTTGTAGATCTAAGTTTATTTTTGTAGATCTGAGTTTATTGTTGTATAAATTTTGTAGATTTTGTTAATTTTTTGTTATTATTGCAGAGCTGAATTTTTTTGATTTTTGTACAGATCTGAATGTTATAAATATAGTAGATTATTATTATAGATCCGAGCTTATTAGTTTAGATTTGAGCTTATTGTTGTAGATCTAAGTTTATATTTGTAGATCTGAGTTTATTGTTGTATAAATTTTATAGATTTTGTTCTAGATCTAAATTTTTTGTTATTGTTGCAGAGCTGAATTTTGTTGATTTTTTTGCAGATCTGAATGTAGACTTCTCGAGTAGACTTCTCGATCTTGAGCAGACTTCTAGAGTAGACTTCTCGATCTCGAGCAGGCTTCTCTAGCATACTTCAGTTGCATACATATTTTTCAGAGATTTTAGTTTACTAGTAATTTCTTATGTCAGTTTTAAGATTTATAATTAGTGATCCTTAAATGTTTGTTTGTTTAGAGGGTTATTTTCTATGTAATGTTGAATTGCATTGAATGTTTTGTATCAAATTCCTAAATTATCTATGTTTATCTATTCTACAAAATAGACTTCTCCTGTCTCGAGTAGACTTTTTAAAAACATTAATTTTACATAACTTATAAGTGATTCAGAGGGACATTTCTCCCATTTATATCATATAACTTGTCAACCGAGTAGACTTCTCTTGTCTCGAGTAGACTTCTCATGTCTCGAGTAGACTTCTAAAAGACATTAATTGTACCGGGTAGACTTCTCTTGTCTCGAGTAGACTTCTCCTGTCTCGAGTAGACTTCTAAAAGACATTAATTTTACATAACTTAAAAGTGATTCAGAGGGACATTTCTTTCATTTATATCATGTAACTTGTCAACCGAGTAGACTTCTCTTGTCTCGAGTAGACTTCTGAAGTAGACTTCTCATTGTCTCGAGTAGACTTCTTAAAGACATTAATTTAACATAACTTAAAGGTGACAACATTCGCACTCCTTTGCTATTCGCCCTCCTTTGCCAACATTCACCAAGAAGCTCACCATGTGTGCAACTATCTCTTAAGAACAACATTCGCCCTTCTTTGCTATTATCCACCTCGAACTGCCACATTGATTCACTCTTAACCCATTCTCCATAAACAGCGGGTATGTGAGCCATTCTCTGTGAAAAAGAACAAAATCCAAACCACATTAGACATCAAAATTGCATAAGTAGACTTCTCTGAAAGTCGGATGAAGTTTATATAGTAGACTTCTAGAGTAGACTACTCTTAATAAGCTAAGTATCATATAAAACATGAAAACTCATTCGACTATACCTATAATATATAAACATGCAAAACTTATACATAAGCAAGAAAACTTAATAACAAAAGCTTAGGATCACGAAAATCTTAAAAATTTGTTATATATTGTATAAAAATGATTTAAAAAAAAAAACAAGAAAAGTAGACTTCTCGGATAAAAGTAGACTTCTGGCAGGTTAGTTTTGCAATTGCCAAAATATTAGTAGACTTCTCTATGAAAATTAGACTTCTCAGAGAAGTCTACTTTCGTAAGTAGACTTCTCACAGGTCATTTTTGCAATTGCAAAATATTTGACTTTTTGGTCAATTGCAAAAATGACCTGCGAGAAGTCTACTTACGAAAGTATACTTCTCGGAGAAGTCTACTCTGAAAAGTAGACTTCTCAGAGAAGTCTACTTTGCATAGAGAAGTCTACTCTACAAAGTCAAAGGTTGGTCAATTGCAAAAATGACCTGCTTCTAAAGAAGTCTACTCGAGAAGTCTACTCCATTTTTTTGTTATCAAAGGAAATGGAGTAGACTTCATTCAGACCAAAAGAAGTCTACTTTTTCATGCGGTCAATTGCAAAACTAACATGGGCGTTGACTAGTAGACTTCATTCGGACCGAGAGAAGTCTACTTTCAGAGCATTTTCGTAAATACGTGAGGAAGATGAGGATTAATTGGTCATTTGGATTTCCGTAAATAAAAGAAATTAATTAAAAATAATGGCAATTTCGTAAATAACTGAAACTATGAAGGATTGTTCGGATACAAAATGGCAAATGTTGGGAAGGTGATTTTTGTGGGTTAGATTTGCAATTCAAATTAAATTTTAGGTCATTTTTGCAAGAATCCCATGTTTTTAAACTCGGCCCAAAAGATAACTCGGAAAATTCTTCGGGTCACCGGTTCAGTGGGTCAACCAGGGTCGATCCGGATTGACCGCGATATTAACTAAACTTCATTACAGTTTATAGAACCTTTGTGTCGATTCTGGTGTTCTAGATAATCCCAAAATAATAATTTACTTTTTGTTTAAATCTTTATATACCTATATTATTAATTCACATGGATTCTTTCACAAATCTAAAGGCTAAAATTCATAATTTTTTGTGTTTATATTTCATTAATTTATTAGATAAGCTTATATATTTCGCTCAGAATGAAAGATTGTCCTCATCGTTGACAAATAGAAATAGTAAAATCAGAAACTCAAACTGGATTATTTAATTGAGAAAAAAATAAACGTGGAGAGTGAACATTCGTTTGGGTTCGGTCCGGGTTTAAAAACATTGTTTTTAAGTAGCAATTAAGATGATGCAGTTTAGTTTCTTTCACAACCATCCTTATTTATGTTTTAGTTTTTTTATTATTGTAATTATATACGTACATTCATAATTAAGCAAGCTTGCTTGATTTTATTGTAATATATAGTATGCACAGGGCCGGCCCATAAGGCAAACAGGAGAAGCTAAGAACTAAGACATCAAAAAAATTAGGGTTATTATTTTTAAAAATGTTTAATATTAGAATTAATTATTAATAATTATATATATACAAAATTTCAAGTTAAAGTTTATTAAGAATTATTTGCAATCTACAATATCATAAAAAGATTGAATGGCTGACTTTATTATTGATTGAGACAATTATGGTTAGAAAACTATATTATGTGAATTTAATGAATGATTTTGCAAGTAAAAATATAAAGAAGGCTATTTTCAATAATATATACATATATATTATAAACTATTTATAAATTTAAATTGCTTGTTTGAAATTAGATTTTTTTAATAAAAATTTTAACTATAATATTTTATGTTAATTATTATATAAAAAAAGAATATTTTAAATTTGAATAGGACATCAAAAATTGTCGGACCGACACTGAGTATGCATTATAACATATAGTATGCATGTAATCATTAGAAGAAACTATTTTTATATTAAAAAAAAAAAAAAACAAATCACTACAGCAAGAAACTGAAAGCTAAGCCATAGGCATTTGCCTTAAGACTTCTTTAAGCCGAATTGTACTGATCATCTTACTATGCTCTTATAAGTCGAGTTGTATTATCTTATTATTTCAGGGTTATTCAAAATGTTTCAAAATCAAAATATGATATTTGTCTAAAGGCCTATGGCTTAGCTTTCAGTTTGTTGGATAAGTAGAATGACCAATGGCTGAAAAAGAATATTGAGATAAAAACAATGGGTTGATCTTTGGCATGGAATAAACGACCAAGAGCTGAAATAAGTCTTTAAGACAAAGACTACCAACCAAAAACATAATCCTCAAGAAAATACCAACTGCTTATAGACTAATAAGAACCAACAACTGTTTCTACTCGGTTACAAATACCAACGGTTTGAGAAGCACGTGTGCGTGTGATCAGTTTTAAAGGTGGAACCTTGTAACTAAACTGAATTTACTGCGGAAGGCTGATGCCAAGACATAGATCACCGAATTGATAATTGTACTCGTACGTAAGATTTTGTGCTGCTGGTTTCTTTCTCTTCTCATTCAATATTTGTTTTTTTGATGATTGGATCTAACATCAAAACTATTCATCAGCGAATTATGGTTGATTCAACGTCACACTAAAGTTATGTAAACTCAAGAAAAATGAAGGTCAGATACATGATTTTGTTGGCGTTTTTTAATTTGGTATATATCCTTTGTTTGATGACCAAGGTTAATCCTAAACTGAAACTCGTAATTAATATACAAAACTGGTATTAAAAATGGTTATTATTGCCAATTTAAACATCTATAATGGTTAATAGAAAACCACATTGCGTATGGGATTGGGAGGTACATGTCCTACATATGTATTTTTGTATTAGCAACAGTTACTTTCGAGATTAAGACTTTAAGAGACGAGCATCTGATTTTTGGGTTATAGAAAATAGTACTTACAATTATACATTTATACGTAGTGTACACGTGAAAGGTATCGACCGAGATGGTCCAATACTGAGTTTGTTCTTTATTTATTGTTTTTGTCGGCGACTTTATTCTATTAGGTTTTGTCATTAATCACGCCAAGACCATGCAGTATTATACTCTGAGTAATTAAATAACCCCACTTTTTAAATACTCCATCAATGTATTCAATATACATAATTACATACGTGTGTATATCAGTATATATATACATACCTATATGGTGTAAGTATGAAACTGTGTAGTTTATGAACCGTTTTACTTTTTTTCTATCATGGTAAATCTGTAAGTATGAAACTGTGTAGTTTAAGAAACGTTTTGCTTCTTTTTCTTTCATTGTAAATCTAAGTAAAGAATAAAATTGCCTTATAGTTCTACTTATAGTGGGTCGGAATGGCTACTTCACAATTATTATTAATGGGTGATATATTTTTAAAAAATCGCTTTTTATTATAAGAAATATCATGTAATTTTTTTCCAAATCTGAAATAATTTAGTGATACATGTAATTTTTTTTAGCAAAATAAATTTTGACTTAATATATCAAAAAAAAGTATTGAGATTGAGAAAAAGTCCCTCAATTCGAATATAATAATTCTTTCTATAAGAAAAAAAATATATATATATCCAAGGAAGTGATATTGACGAACCAACTAACTCATATAATATCTCCGTCTCCACCAATCCCCAATTCAATCAGACAACGGTATATTTAAAAATATCTAATTTTAGTTTTTTTTTTTTTTTTGAATCTAACTAAACCGTTACATAACCGAATCGGTTTTAAAGAGTATCAAATTTCTAATTTTAATTTTCTTCAAACCATATCGTGAAGTAATTGAGCTCCCATCAAATTCCTGTAAGGCAAATTCTGAGCTTGATCACCATCCAACATCGACGCTGTATACTGAACCGATCCTTCCATGTGGTCCCTACCGTAGTAAAGTGGGGCCCCTTGAGCCGTCACTGGAGATAATGCTAAACTGACACCGCCGTTCTGTAACCCAAGCGTCAACGACACGTCACGTGTTCCTCCTTCACCAGCGTATGTCACAGCTTGGTTACCGTATGATGAAAAATCAAACGTTGACCCAAACGACGCCGTTCCCTGGTTTGAGTTGTCTTTGTGGCCGGTTTTTGCAACTATGGAGGATAAAGATTCCGGTTCGATACGAATTATCTGGTTTGGATCAGGTTTAGTGTCGATGAACGTCGGGTTTGTAATCTCCATTTGTTCTCCTCTTGTTTCTTCACAATACATTTCTTCAATCATTGGTTTCCATAGCCTAACTCTTGCATTGATGAACCAATTTGATACCTAACAGTTTCGTTTATATTATTATTCAATTAAATGAAAACAAAATAGATATTTTGGAATATAACAAAACTAGTGACCTATTCTTTACCTGACTTCTTGATAAACCAGTTTGTCGGGCCAATATATGCTTATCAACATCGCTTGGATAACTGAAAAATAAGAAAAAGTTACTTTAGGGAAATGATTTGTCTAGTGAAATTAATGATATTTTAATGTAAAAAAATGGATATAAATGATTGAAGAATGATACAAAAGAAATGGAGCAAAGGTAAAGGGTTTGGTGAAAACTAACAAGATGTTTCATTGTTTGAGCAGTGTTTGGGAATTTGATGGAGACAAGTCTTACTTACATATGATAAATATATAGTTTTATGAAAGAAAGTAAATAAATAAATAAAAAGGAAAAGAAAAAAAGGAGAAAAAAACAAAATAAAAACATGGAGAAAAAGCAAGGAGTTATGCATTGTTTTTCTCTTTTGTTAGTGTTAGGTAAAGAACATTGATTCTCTCTCTGAATCCACTTTGTACCTTTCTCTATTTCTGTCTTTCATCCACCAGTTAAATATTTTCCATATATTTTTATTATTAGCTATCAAACATTATCTGAATATGTATACATATATACATGTATGTATATGTTTGTACACTCACTTTCACACCAATGATGCAAGTGAAAGAAAAAGGGAAAACAAAAAAAGCTTTATGCAATTAACAGATTAAGGAAGATTGGATCCTCAGCTTGTCAAGTCAATCTCAATCTCTCTATGTAAAATGTATATGTCTTTTATATGTTCACAATATATTCAGGTAAAAAAAAACCTATAACTATATATATATGTCTTTTATATGTTCACAATGTATATGTCTACCATCAATGGTTTATTATAATAAAATAAAAGTTATAGGTATTTTTTTTTTCTATCAACAAATGCAGTTGCAGTTAAAACTTTCAGACTAGGTTACGTTGACTTAATTTGTAGCTTTTAAGATTCCACAGTCATTACGTTTATTGAAAAGACACTGAACTAGTATGTATTTGGTTAATCATAGTAAAATGTGATTAAACTTATATGATCCGCATTTTATAATCAAACTATAGTTATAAATATATTGCATATATAAGAGGATGTGTATGAAACTTACGGGTGAAGAAAGTGCTCAAAGAGCCAAGCTCTTAACGTCGTGACCGCGCGTTCAGGCAAACCGCGTTGTGGTCGCCAAGGATGAGCTTCCACGAGACTCATTTGGCGATACGATTTCTGTTGCCGCAAAGCTTGATCGAGCAATCTCAGTCGTGGAGTTTCGCCACGTGCAGCAATCGAGGCCGCACGATTATCATCATCTCTTTCTCCCAAAGCTTGACTAGTTGCTTGAATTTGTCCTACAAGTCCGTCTTTTAAACACCGGAAATGCCTAGACATTGCCCTCGACGCTAACGCCGTGTACATCTCCGCCGCTCCTATCCCAACCGCCGACTCAAACGCTGCTGCCGCAACTCTCATTTGCTCTCGGTAATGTCCATATCTTCTTCTAAGCTGCCAAAGAAAAATATCTCAGTCACACCGTATAAATGTAGATTCATAGAATGGGTATTGATGAAAAAGAAACAACTCGTTATGGCTTATGATGATGAAATTGATTGCTATTAATATTGAGGACCACTAGTCTCCATATTAGATCAAAAGCAAAGCAAATAATTCTTATTTTGGTTCTATATAAAAAGGAAATAATGCGCAAAGGAATTAAAAGGGTTAATCTTTTTGTAGTGTTACGATCGAACTTGTTTTCGAAGAGAATACGTGAAGGAATGAAGACAAAAAGGAATCTTTTTATCTTTTTATTTAAAAGAAATTTGTATCTTTAAGAAATATATGGACCTTGATTAAGAACCGGATAAATACAAGATTTGTGGGTGTTTTGTAATTTAAGAATAAGTTGAAATAAATAGAAAAAATATTAGATTTTGTAACAAAGAATTATACATTTTTAGGAATAAGCTGAAACCAAAAAAAGAATAATTAGATTTTTAAGAAACCCATGAAATGTTTTGATAGGGTGGATATATACCTCTTCAAGCATGGAGAGCAATTTGGCTTTTCTTTTCTGAAGTTCCATGAACTCAAGAGAGTGAAGTGGTGGAACATGTTTCTTTGAAGAAGTAGTTGCAGATTGATCATGATGTTGATCATTGTTGTTGTTACTTGTGTCCCACTCTTCTTGTTGTTTCCCTTTCTGCTTCCTCTTATGCTTCGTCAACATCACCTCATCATCACTTTCCTTTACTCCAAGGCTGCAAAACTCACTCAGCAGCTCTTGAGCTGGACTCAAATACTTGGAACTCCCAATATGAAAATGATGATGATGATGGTCGTTGTTGTTGTTGTTGTTGTTGTGTTGGTGATTATTCATCATCATCATCATCATCTGGCTGTGTTGGAGATTCTGATGCTGCGTTGATTTACCATTATACCCTTGTTGTCGTTGCTGTTGTTGGGGTCTGAGGTCGAAGGATTGGAGACTGATGCCTGTAGGATTTGTGGAGGAGAGAGAAAGGGAAAGACCTTGGCTTGGTCTCTGTGGTGGTCTCTCATCATTTACTTCACTTGAGAAATTATTATTAACATTGCATAGTCTCATGGATGATGAAGAATCTTCTAGAAGCTGATTCTGATCAGTACCACCACTTGTATGATGATGATGATCCATCCCACTTGTCATCCTCATCTCATGTTGCTTGGAAAAGTCTATCATCATCCCCATGTTGGAGTTTGAGCCAAAGATCTGATGGTTATAATGATGTTGTTGTTGTTGATGATGATGATGATGATGATGAACGGTTGGATTGTGGCTTGCTCCATCAAAACCTTGGATCTGATTAATCATTTGATGTTGTTGTTCTTGATGATGATGATCGGCTGAGTTATGACCATAGAACTGATCTCTTGCCATGTCTCAAGAATCAAAAACCCAAAAAGAAGAGAAGAAAAAAAGAAACTCCTTTTGGGATACAAACAAGGAGTTTCATCAAGATCTACAAGAACCTATCTCCAAGAAAGTTGAAAAGAATCAATAAACAAATTTAAAAGAAAGCAATTTTTTTCATACCCTGAGTTTCCAAATCATGAGAAAGAGCCAAAGTTTGTGTCATAAACCAGACAATATAAATAGCTCAAAAACCCTATGAAAAAGTTTGCATAAAGATATGAATTATTTCTTCTTATTCTTTAGCGAAGATTGAGAGATAGAAAAAGAGAGATTAGGAGAAGATAGAGGAAGAAGAATAAAAGAATTAAACAGAAGAGATATAACAGAGAGAGAGAAAGAGAAGAAAAAGAGATTGTGTGGCTTCACCTCTCTCTTGTTTTGTACTTTGACAAAATTAAATTTTTCTTTTAGTATGATGGGGTCTGTAATTTGTATTTTGTACTACAGGCAAAAATAATTATTATTATAAAATGGTTAAATAAAAATAAAATAAAACCTAGGAAGAGAAAATATCAGATGGGTATCTCATCAGAGATCAGAAGATAGGTGATCATGACCCTCCCATAGACTCTATAGCTAGCAATCAATGTTCAATCTCTCTCCCTCTCTCTACCGCAAGTGGGTCAAAAGGCTTCACTATTTTCAAATTTATGTAATTTATTTATTTTTTTCAGTTTTTTTTTCCCATATACTAATTTTCTTCCCGATTACATTAATTTTGATTCAGTTGTGTACTTTGCTATTAATTTATATATTTAAAAACTTAAGTCTTAATGAAATAATGATTTTTCCTTTTCTTCATCTTTGACAGCAAATTCGTTTGACCAAGAAAATAATAAGTGTTTTCTTCTATTCTTTATTTTTCTTCTTTAATAATTAATAGTATATTAAACTAAGGTTCAAAAGTAGAGAACCTTTGCTGGGTACACTAACTAGCTACAAGCCGTCATATAACATATCTCTAGTTCTCACGTTTTTTTTTGCTAAAGGAAAAAATGAAATATCTCACGTTGAACCTTTGCTTCATTGATTAAATATATTTACTATTTAATGTTTATCTATGTATTTAGTATTTTGTCATCTCTTGCTAAACCTATACGTGTAATATGGCTGTGTATATATTAGCATACAAATATGTAATACGAGTATACGACCATTCCCTTAGAAACAAAACATTTTAATATGTTATAAAAAACAATGATAAATTTTGGTTTGCTTATGTAAGCAAGTAAGCAACCTTGTTATTAAATTTTTGCAACCACTTTTTAAACATCTTTATGATCAGCATAAGTGCATAACGTCTCTTCTTAAACAATACTAGAACATTGACGATGATTTTTTATTATTAATTTGAGAAAAACAATTCTACATATACACATGATTTAGCCAGTCACGTGAATGTACAAATTTTAACTAATCTTTTTTTTTACAAATGGTATCCTTTTCTACGTACGTATCACTATCACGTCTGCCTTTGTCTATTTTGTGCTTAAAATTAAATAAAAACGAATCATTTTCGAAGGTGTACGAAGGTAAATTCTGACAGAAGAATTTGCTCGTAAAAAATATACATACTTTTTTGATATGAGTAGACTCTATCTACATTGTAAAAGTAAATTATAAAATTATTAGATAAACTAGCTCTTTAATTAACTAATCTTTTTCAGAAATTAACATACCAAGATATGTTATATATATGGGGTCATGTATAGATTGAGAAGTAAACGAGAACGAATCCCAAGAAATCAAACCAGAAGTGGAAGTTGAGGTCAGGCTTTTCTCAGATATGTCTGAGTGTCACTTCTCTTCTGTTTAACAATAACTATTCACCATATCATAAATATATATACATAAAAAAAAAACATTCTAAACAGCAATAATATTGAATATTTAGCGACTGTAGTAGTCCCGCGTAAACCAGTGACAGTGAGTATAAAAGGCACACAAATGGTGTCAATATATGATCTATAAAATAATTAACAATTTAAATAGCTTTTTAAGTAGGATAATCTTGAAAGTATAACATCAAGCCAACTTGTAAAAGAGAACATAAAAAGATACATAGATGATAGATAAGACAAAACAAACACTGTGTTTGTAGTTATTTAACCACACCACATTAATAGAATCACCCAAAAAGCTTACTTATTTCATTAGATAGATCAATACATGCGTTTTCTTATAAATGACAAATTTGATTATAACTAACCAACAATATAACAAAATTTTGATATTACTTGTGTAATAGGATAATCACACTCATTTGCTTAACTATAATATATATTATATCAAGTTCAAGCCAATACACCTAGAAATTCGTCGTCTATATATACCCTTTACTAATTTTTAAAATGAATCATTTACATGTAACATATATATACGTTTCATGTGTTAGTTATAAAATTAATTAGTGGATCAGACTATGAGAAAAGTACAGGATAAGAGAATATCCAAAACTTTACGGTTTTACATATAATACCAAATTAATTCATAGTTTCATAATTTGGGATACTTATAATTGCTGTCGAGAATTGTTCCCAAACTAAGGGACTATGCATGAGAGGTGATTAAGTGGTCCTCCGTTATCTTTTTTTCTTCTTCTAAATTTCTTTCTGTTTAATATTCATTTTACCAAAAATTCATTTATTTCCTCTCGCTTGGGACCATTTTCTTTTTCTTCATTTTTTTCTCCAATTCTTATATACATACACATTTAGAAGAACTAATTATATCATCTCACACGCGCCAATTTCTAAGAGCACGACCGAATAAATAAAACATCTACTCTATATTTTAGTCAACCAGAAGAAAAACCAATATGAAACAGTAGAACATTGTAAAGTGATAGATAGTATATATATTCTAACATAAATCACAACAAAAGAAACTTACTCATATTTGTAGGTTTGTAGCAACATAAATTTACGATAAATTTATGACAATTAACGATCGACACCAAGAGTCACAATTTATAAAAAAAGAAACACGTGACATACACGCGCCATGTTTTGAGAGTGGATTATTACACAATTAAAAGGAAGTGGTCCAACCGAAACGGAAGCTCTTTCCGCCGTTTCATACCAAATTCCACAAGGAATCCTTTTTCATATTTTTGATATACCGAAAATACCCTACTTATGGATGACGTCATCATCTCAGACCTTTTATATAGAAGAGAGATAGATTGACCAAAGTACAACACTTCTGTGCTGAAGTGCGCACGTTAGCAGTTCTTCTCAGCTCACTTTCTTTTCGTCCAAGCTATATTTTTTTTATCATCATTTATTCATTTTTTCTAATTGGAAATGAATTCGCCTTCGTATAATAAAGATATAGTTATTGAAGACGCAAAAAAAAAAACTTAACCATATAATAAAGATATACGAAAATAAGAAAATTTTAATATTTATTTATAAAGAAGAAACTTAACTTCAATTTTTTTTTTTTTTTTAAAAACGTAACTTCAATGTTTCTAACATAGAAAAGGAGAATCCATGACAATTTAAGGTGATGCATAAAATAAAACAAATCAATCATAACCGTTAAAAGAATACAAGAAGAAAAAAACAATGAGATCATAAGTGTGGAAAAAGGGAAAAATCTGAGAGATCTGATAAATGTCTGAGACAGTACACAGTTTTGAGCTTTAGGGTTTATAAGTGATCTTGAAACTTGAAACTAGAAACTGCTTCACACCCATCATCGCACTCTTTCTTCTTTATACATTTTGCAGACTTGTTCATAGTGTGGTCCAACTTTACTTACAATATATGTGTATATATATATACATATAAATATAATTATAATTATATGTTAGAACGGAACAGAGAGAAATGGTATATATGTTTTCCCCTTAACTAAAGTTGTTTCCTAATTATTGCTTCGGGGACCGGTTCTTTGGTCCCTCAATGTGAATACTTCGAAATTTTATTTTCCCATAACCATGTAATAAAGAATACTGAATATTTATCTGGATTTAATAGTTACGTATGGTTTGAGTGCTTTAACGATGTTCTGAAAACAAAATTTGAGCTATACATGTTGTCGTTAACGAATTTTTGTAATGTTTTATAAAAAAAATGAAAACGTTTCTTACGTAATTATATTAGTTCTTTATTTAGACTAATATTTTCAGTTAAACTGTTTTTTCAAGCAACAATTTATATAGCTATCTTAAATTTGAACAAATTGCAGTTGATTATTAAAAATCATTCAATTAGCGAGAAAGGTTAATCTAAGCTGATTTATATTTTCTAGTTACGTTTAATAATTTGATCCAACCGACCGATCGAGCTAAAAAAAAAAAAGCTAATAGAACGTAACTATGACTTGTTTAATGTTTTCTCAAAATATAAAGCTGTGAGAAAATTACTCAGTGAGTAGGGACAATTTTATGTAACACAACTCGGAAAAGGTTGTGTTTGAACATATAAGGTTAAATGGACCCTCCCTCTTTAGTATCAATACATTAAGCATTTGGAACCCGAAGAAGTTAATTAGTTAATGTAACTCTACTTATTATTACTCGTAATGAAAATTACAATTGAATTAATTGTTCTTACATGTTTTGTAAATATATGTATATTGATCTGAAATAAAGAAAAAAATGACATGTAAGTTATCACTTTAAGATATTTAATTGGAAGCAACACTTTGAATACATCTGTTATTTATTTACCTATTTGTTTGTTTATTTATCAAGTTTAATCAAAATCATCCAAAAACAGTTATATCTTTATTGGCAGTTTGATAGAACAGCAATGCTTGATAGATACATTAGTATCACAATCTTATGATCTTTTTTGCCAATAATAACATATCATTCTGATTTAGAGACATGTTCCCACTGCACAGAAAACTTGTATATTTTACCCTAGCAATATTGAAATTACAAATCCTAAATATAAATATTGTGAAAAAACAAGAGTTAATAGAGGTAGTACAAAACGAAACCTAGGATAGAAGCAACTTCAAATATAATTTCACATCTTTTTTTATGAATCTTGTGACAGAAGAACAAATGTGTCTATCGCAAACTATTTGATATAATATTTGTATGTATGTACGTAATATTATAGATTTAAAATAAACTTTTATTGGAAGACTTTTCCTTTTTGTTAAGGGATGCACAAACATGATCTTTTTAGCCTGAAGGTTCGTACGTGCTAAAACTTCAAAACATCTTAGTTTTTTTAAGCAATCATCTGATTCTTAAATTACTATGAAGTTATTTTAAGCTGTCTGTTTAAATAATAACTAAATTATACAATCTCCAGCGTGTAACAACATGTTTATCAGTAAATATAAATTCTAAGAGTTTATAGTTTCTTCTTTTCACATTGGCTTAATAAAAGAAAAGGAATAATCAAACTGAAGACTTCTTTCTAATTGATGGGAGTGAGTTTGAAAAATAATTTATTTCTGAAGAAGTTATGGACCATGTATGTATCGAGAAAAATCTCACCAAATCTGATCATGACTCTTTTAGTATATTTCTTCTTCTTCTTCTTATTCGT